CCCAAAACACAACCTGTGCAATCAAACAACATTGACCACACCGGATCCATTTATGAGTAAACATTGACTACACTGGGTCTCTTTCTGAGTAAACATATAACAACATGCAATTTTACATTGAAGATAGTCCATATGAATTCGATTACAATTCTTTTATATATGTTACATGCCAGAAACTAAATTACAAGTCTAGTTTTACAAAAACATCATTTAAAGCCACATTTCGGCTTTTTTTCAACATTTAGGCCCCAATTGAGAGCCTTACACTGGCGTGAACCCCGCACATGAAATGTTTNAGTCTAGTTTTACAAAAACATCATTTAAAGCCACATTTCGGCTTTTTTTCAACATTTAGGCCCCAATGGAGAGCCTTACACTGGCGTGAACCCCGCACATGAAATGTTTACCATATAGGGTTAGCCACGCTCAATAGGGTATCTCCTATAGAGGCTACTCCCCAACCTAAGTGCATATGAAATGTTCACATGCAACATTCAACAAGCAACAACCATCCCAAACAAGAATATGCAATCCATGTTGGAATTCTACCATGTCATGCCATAAAATGAGATGAGACTCGGTCATACACTTTGACCCGAGTCCTCACCAGCTCCCNTCCATGTTGGAATTCTACCATGTCATGCCATAAAATGAGATGAGACTCGGTCATACACTTTGACCCGAGAGGAGTGGTCGAGGGTGTTGTGTTACGTTACAGTTACACATTATTTAGGCGATAACATGAAATTCATCCAATGATCATTTTGAAATAAAAGTCATGTGTTTATTAAAACAATGTTACACATCGAATGACTATTTTATAAAACAAAACCATTTGTCTTTGTTGGGTAGTGGAGTTTTGGTGTCGCACCACCGGTTCCATACACCAATACTCTTTTCCAGAATTTCACCACAAGGGAGTGTATGAACCAAGTAATCAGGTCTTGCACCCGAGGGAGAATCTAGCCCTGCTTGCTATACCCGACACAAGTTTTTCATGCAAACTATGCGACTCAGTCGAATCTTTGATCCAACTTTCTTTGGGCCCAAGTATCATCCACCAAGAATGGTGTTTTATCAAACCATGCACACCCACCCACCAAATGCGATGTCTTTGTGCAAATGTAATGTAATGAACCATTGTAATATCAATATCATGACCCATATGTAATGAATGTCATATGGACTAATTTAACCACATTCAAAAATTTCATGGTAAATTATATTCAAAGCATATAACTTCCATAAAGTCATCACAATGCCAATATATCATAAGCATATACTAACATTCACATTTAATAACAATTTTTCCCAAGCATGTCATACATAGTCTATGCAATAACACACTTAATTTTCACATAAGTATTTAGTCAAACACCTTCAAGGCACCAAATCATGTTATCACATAAAAATGCCCATAATCATCACATAAATAAAAAAAATCACATTTAGTAATTTTCACATACCCAATTATCAAAATTCCAAGAAATCACAATCTAGCAATTCCTATATATTCAAGTGAAGATAGAATTTATTCTACCCATTTTTAATACTCATTTCACATTTCAAATACAATAGGCATTTGTTAAATCAAATCTAACGACCAACCCATTTCATACAATCATCCTAGGTTGAAAATAAACCTAAGTATGATGAAAACCCTACCTCTTGAAGCGTAAAACAATTGCTAGGAAGCTCCAAGAACCCAAACCTTGCCCAAAACCAAACTTTTTCTAAAATCCCATCTTTGAATCTTCAGTGAAATCCTTCCTTTTCTGTATGCTTGCGTAGCCCTCGTCTCGTAAATCGACTTTAATACTTGGCCTGCAGAATTTCGGCGGAACTCCGTAGNTCAGTGAAATCCTTCCTTTTCTGTATGCTTGCGTAGCCCTCGTCTCGTAAATCGACTTTAATACTTGGCCTGCAGAATTTCGGCGGAACTCCGTAGATCTAAGAAAAAAGTCTTGAAATATTTCTTTTTCTTTCTCTTCCAAATTGAACCCAGCACAGATGTGTCGAAAAAAATCATATTTGTGTTCCTATTTATACATTTTAACAATTGGTCCATGTCGTGCCACACGTCCCCCCTTTCCCAGGTCCGTTTTCACCCTAAAATGATTAAATTTCACTTCAGTTCAAGTTCAAATATTTTTATTTCAACTTATTTTAAATTATTTTTAAAATTTTAAATTTTATTAAAAATTTCATTTTTGGGTCACCCGAGACCCAACTACCTTGTAAAACGTGAAAAACACGACTATCTTGAAATTTGACGAAATTTGTTTGGGTAACTAGATTTCGCGCGACGAATCCAATGGTGAGGTATGTTTCGTCATTCAAGCTCTAGAAAAATACAGGTTTTCAACCCGCACTGTAGTGACAAATTACTGTTTTACCCTTTTTCATAAAAAGTTTAAAAAATTTTAGGTTTTACATCTTCTATGGAGATCAGCTCCCAATCTAGATCCATATAAAATATCACATACAAATTATCATGTCAACCACTCAATCAATTATATCAATTTCATAAATAAATGCCACAATTCCATGCCACGCTATGAGATTAGAACTCACGTAGGCAATGCAACCCGAGCCCCACTGGCTCCCATAACACATGTTCTGCCATGCATATGCATCCGAGCATTCCAAGCCCCTACCATCGATGTTAGACATCCAATGACTATTTTATAAAAATCTTGTTTCATTCTTGGGTTAGATATTTATAGACTTCCACCAATGGTCACCTAACCGACAGGGCATCTATGGACTTCTACCAATGGTTCCGCGTACACTGACACACTTTATGGATTCAATACTAATGTGAATGCGTATCTAAAATTATCGAGGCTTGTACCCGAGAGAGAATCTAGCCCTTTTTTTTAATCTTGACATGTTTGGCAATGCAAACCTGCATGACTAAACTAGACCTAGGTCCAATTTTTTCGAGCCCACACATCAACCCAATAAGAATGGTGTTTGAATGAAAACATGCATGCACACCCATACTCATGCCGGATGCCCGTGAATATGATGCTACCCATGCATATGCAATTAAAATGTATAATTGTATTTCATAATATCATGTTCATCATATCATAAAGCGTATAATAAACATGTGCATTTTCCATAACATTCCCAAGCATGTTACATGTAATATTGATCCAATTAACATACTTGAAATCCTAAGCATTTCATCAAACACTTAGTAGGCATAAAATGTAAACACATATTATACCCAAACAAGCAACTTTATCAAATCCAATTCAAACAATTTCATCAAACCCAAATCAAGTAATAAATTGTTTTAACATATAATATATGAGAATTCATCTCCACCACTCTACTCATTTCATATCACAACCCAAGATTAGAAATAAATCTAAATAGGAGGGAACCCTACCTCTTGTAGTGTAAGCCTAGTAGTAGAATCTCAAACAACTAAAATAAAGCCTTCCAAGCCTTAGCCTTCAATTCTCTTCTTTGAGATCTTTAGGGAAAGGCGTGATCTTTGGTATGGTTGCAGCTGTTGTTGCGTAGAGCAACTTTAATTCTCGGCTCGAAGTGATCCAATGGTCAGATTTCCGCGGATCTAAGAAGGAAGGTGGGAGAAGCTTGGAGAGTCTCTTCTCTCTCTCTCTCTCTCTTTCTCTCTCTCTCTTTCTCTTTTCGAAAATGGTAGGTCAAGAATGGGGAAAAAAATCAGATTTCCCCCCTTTAAATACCCTTCGAATTCTTGGCCCTTGTTGTGCCACACATCCTAATATATCTGATATAATTTTATTTTGAATCAATTAAATTTTTTCTTGTGTTAAGTTCAGTATATTTTTATTGAACTAAATTTAAATTATTTTTTGGGTTTATCAAATAAAATCTGATCACTTTTATTTTAGTTGCGCAATGCTGATCGCATCGTAAGACGTAAAAAATTTGACTGTCTCGAAATTCAACAAAAATTAACTAGGTAGTTAGATTTCACGATATGAATTTAAAGGTGCGGTCCGTTTCATCATCCAAATTATAGAAAAATTTGATTTTTAAACCCGTACTGTAACGGCTAATTACCGTTTTTCCCTTTAATTAAGTTTGAATCTTCCTAGGTGTTACATGTACCTTGCTTATTATGATATACTGCTAGTTTGACACTTTGTGAAAAAGAAGGGAAAAATATTTTGGGTACATATGGGAGAACTTGGGGAGATATTCTCTTGGCTAGCTTAGGTAAGTTTCAAGTGAACAGAGTAAGGGGAAGTTTGTTCTAATACTCAAGGGGAGTACATTTACAAACTTGGCATGAAATTGCCAAATGGAAAGATTGATAGATCATGTTTTGTAATTGGCTATTACTCAAGGTTAAATGTGGTAATAATAGGTCTAATTTGGTGTTTGTCTAAGCATAAAGTTTAAAAACCTATTCACCCCCTCTAGGTTTTGTGGTGAAATCCACATGTATAATCATGAAGGAAGATCCAAACATATCTCCCTCTGTCGTAACAGCAACATAGACTTCACAAAATTAGTCAATTACAAAACATGATATAACAATTTCTCCCTTTGGCAATTCCGTGAGAAAATAAGCAAATAAGAAATTAAGATTATAACCTACAAACCATTGAACAAAACAAATTATAAATAAATTTCAACATTTGTGCACGAGTCCCTAATATCTAAGTACAAGAGCTATCTTTGGATGTCCTGCACATCACCAGTCAAACAGGATGTAGAATCATGATATAACAAGAGGGTATAAATACAAACCAACTACCAAGAATATTCATGTAAGTAAACTAAAAGACAAATGTTACACTTAACTGAAAGTATCAAATGTATATAGCATCAAATATCACATGACTAAGAGTACATTACAACAAAGAAAAATTAAAAAACTATGCAAAAGTCAATAAAAAGGAAAAGCCAACAAGAAAAAAATAGAGTACTTTAAGTACATGCCATGAATGAATAATGCTCATAAAACTCTCATATGTTCCTATGCTGAAAGTCTCCTAAGCAGCTCTTGTGGCCGCATCAGCTCCACCAACACCATCTCCATAATCAGGTTGTGCCGCGGCATCATCATCCTTATCAATATATCCAACATTCTGAAGCATATGTTGAACACGTCTCATCTCCCTCCACATCGATCTCTTCTCTATCTCTATCCCCAAAACTCTTCCATCTAGAGAATCAAGATTGAGGGCCTTGAAACTATGTTGCTCATCTATACTACTCTGAATGTGATAAAGTGTCCATGACAACAATCCACTAAGTAAGTGAAGAGCTAAGAGTGGCCCTAGATGGTGCACATGAAGTGTTGACTCATCCAGCCGTAGGTGGTGATGCTTTCCTTGATGGTCTAGGCTTAGAGGTGGGAGTAGGTATCTCTGGGTCCTATCCTTCTTCCTCTACCTCTAACTCTACCTTTATAGACTCGAAAACATAGTTGGTATAAGTCTCACTCTGTTGCATCGAATCCTTTCCTAGAGGTTTCTTAGGTTCCTTCCTCTTATCTAAACCTAAAGCAAGAACCCTTCTATTCACACAAATATGGATCATTAGAGAACCAAAAGGTAGACCATCGATAAATTGCCCCTCCTTATAGGCTTTCTAAATAATCCCAAATATCATACCAGGCAAATCATTGTCCACATCAGTGCCAATAGCATGCAACAAATGAGCTTGAAAGGTGGGAAAAGTAGACACATGGGTTTTTGGGTCGATGTTGCTGCTGGTGATAAAATTAATCATCTATATTTCTTTGAAAAATCCTTATGAAACTATAGTGAGCAATGCTACCCATCACGATAAGGAGCACCATACAACTCAGATGCAACATTGTAAAGCCTTGGTATTGACTCAATAGGTCTATGCCTAAATGTGTCATTAGGTATTCAGGGGTAAATGGAAGGTGGTGGAAATCAAGTCAGTAGAGAACTCAAATAACATACCTTAGACATTTGTAGTGAAACACTAGTGTTCTACACTAATGTTCCAAATATATGCACAAAACTCCCTCACCATAGTCTTATTTTATGCTTCAGAAGCTACAGAGGGCTCAATCCACCATTTGGACTCAAAATTTAATAGTATAGAAGTACTATAAAACCTGGGAAAATTTAAATTTTTTCGGAAAAAGGGTAAAATGGTAATGTGCCACTATAATATGGGTTTAAAATCAGTATTTTTCTAGAGCTCAGACGATTCAACGGACCTCACCGTTAAATTCATACCATGAAGTTGAGCTGCCATGTTAAATTTTATCGAATTTTGAGATAGTCAAATTTTACACGTTTTACGAAAAAATTTGGGTGACGAACGACCTCACAAAGGTCCCCAAAAATGAAATTTGTAAATTTTTTTTATAATTAGATAAAATTTCAAATAAAATTAATGTCAACTAAAACTGGGAAGTAATTATTTCATTTCGGGTTAAAAAAAGTGGACTCAGAAGTAGTAAATGAGCAGGGCAATGTGGACCACACAATTAAAGGTATAAATAGGGGTTGAATATATGAAAAATCAGATATTTCACACCCTTAAGTCAGCTGAGTTCCAACGTTGAAGAGGAGAAGAGAGAAAAGAGAGAAAACCAAGGATTTCTACCTTTCTCCTTCGATCCAAGAAGCTCCGTCGGTTGAAATTGGTTGGACTAAGAACTAAAGTTAGTCTACGCGACAAGGGCTATGCGTACGTACCAAGAATGAGGGATTTCATCGAAGATCCAAGAAAAGGATTTTGGGAAATCAAAGCCTTGGAGTTGTGGTGGTGTCCTAGGAGGCTTTCTACCTTCTATTTATGCTCCAATAGGTAGGATTCCCTCCTACCTTGGTTTATTTCTAACCTAGGGTGTCCCTATGAAATGGTTAGAGATATGAAATGATTTGTGACTTGCCTATATTCATGAAAATAAGAAAAGGGATATAGAAATGGTCTTGGTCATTTTCTAATATAATTTTGATATGTGGAAATGATTATATAAACTCTTAAAATTTGGGTTTATGTGGGCATGCTATGTGTTTATAATGTGCCTTGTGATTAAGTGTGTTATGGACATGATTTATGAAATAATATACGTGCAAATTGTTTGGATATAAATGTTAATATATGCTAGTTGATATATTGACATTGTGATGGAATATGGTGATTATGTGCATTAGGCATAAATTGCCATGACATATGTTAAGAGTACATAAAGTGTGTCAGTGTACGTGCAACCATTGTTGGTAGTCCATGAATTCCGTGTCAGCTGGGTGCCGTTGGTGTAAGTCCATGAATATCCACCCCAAGAAAGACCCAAAATTTGTAATTGTCATTTGATGTGAAAATAAATGATGGTTTAAATACACATTGGCATTGCATTGTGTTATCAGAGTCGGTGAAGACTCAAGTTAAGATGCATGAGTGAGTACCATCTCATTTCATAGCATGGCATGGGAGTTTCCAACATTGAATGCATTATTCTTGTTTGGAATGAACATTGGTCATGGATCGTTGCATGTATACATTCATATGCACTTAGGTGAGGAGTAGCCTCTGTAGGAAATAGTTTACGGGGCGTTGGCTCACCCTATACGGGAACACATTTCAAGTGTGGGGTTCGTACCGATGGAAGACTCGCATTCAAGGCCTCAACGATGAAGAAAAGTCGGGATGTGGCTTTTGAAAAACATTTTGTGTAAACTTTTGTTAAATTCCATTTTGGGCATGCAATTGTATAAATGGATTGTAATAGAACTTGTAGATATCAAGTTTTATGTGATAAACATCATTAGACATGTTTTAGTTGGTGTTGGAATGATTTGAAATGGTTTTGAAATGAAAAATGGACGAAACAGGCAAAACTGGGCATACAGTACCGGTACAATTGGGTCCAGAGGGTAGAGCATACCGGTACTGTGTACCGGTACAGTCTGTCCAAAAGGCAAAGAGTACCGGTACTGTCTGTCTAGTAGGCAAACCGTACCGGTACTATCTCCCAAAATTTGAAATTTTAAAACTAAAGTGCCATGTTTTTTGACTTTGTTTTCCTTGGTTCCAATGATACAAATGGAGATTACATGAGATATGTTGGACCTTGGTTGGATTAAATGATTAAAGGAACACAGGTTACACGTGTGAGTTCAAATTTCGGATAATGGAATAATGTTAGCATGATGTCGAATCAAGCGACACTCACGGGTTTTTTCGCGTGTTGACGGGTGGTCAACGGTAAATTAATGACCCCCGGTTTTAGGGGCGTCACAAGTACTACTTACCCCATCGAATTTCACGCCACGTTCCATCATCAATGGCTATGGAGCAAACTATCTCCTATACAAATCATGGTAATAGGCACTCTGGTGGCATTTTTCTAAATCAAATGTTGATAATGTGCAAAATCAAGTAAATAACACAAATCTAAAGTTGGAACAAACTCAAAATACTTTAGAATATGTTTAGGAGCATAGGTTAGCCATGGTTACGAAGGGTGAGAGGTGGTATCATGTGTGGAGTGGGGAAAAATTTGGGTTAGAATGTCAAAATCCCATCTTTTAAACTTGTTTACTTGAGATTTGTAGACCACTCGAGCAGTTAGGGGGCTCAATCAAGCGGTCGTTGAAGTTGTCTTGTTTTGCTTCCTGACCTCAGTTTTTCCAAACCTCTCTACCTCCTACAGTCATTCACTTGAGTCTAAAAAACATGCATGTATGTACAACCGGAATGCAGCTACTATGCACATGAATGGATGAAATTGGATCTATATGCAATGCAATTTTCAAAATTAAATAATTAAAAGCAAAAAATCACCCATATTATCATTATAGCATATTCATATCAATTTCATCATCTAGCATTCATTAATAGGTCTCAATTTTTTGCACAAACTTTGATTTTAGGATGGATACACTTCAAATCAAACCATATTTTGATTACCATGATTAACAAAGAAAAATAAACAAAAGAATATCTTTTTACTTTTTCTTTTTCTAATGTTATTTGTATTTTTCAACTGACATATAAACAGAAAATTATGCAACATCAAAGAAAAAAATAAAGAAATTACCATAAATCTTAAAAAGAATGTCAAACTTGACATCTAAAATCTTTTTGGGTTTTCAATTTCTATTGTTTTTGGTTTTCCTTGTACAAATACAAATCAAAAATGAACAAATAAAAATATATACAATGTATGACCCTAGGGTGTTTAATGCAATGCATGAATGATACACCTTGGTCCATACAACTCACCTCACCCACTTCTTAAGTGACTCAACCGTCTTGGTGGCATTTAGGGATCCCAATTGGATTGGTGTAGTAAGTCTCACCCAATGTTCACACATTTGGCTCTTTGGCAACTTTTAGGGGATTGGGGCTTTACTAACCTTTAGTCAAGTGTTCACCTATCACCAACACTTAGGGTCAAGTAAGGTCATTAATCAATTAAACTAGCAAGACTCCCAAGTATGAAGGTGAATGATTGACGGGTACTTGGTTTTATGAATTTTCACAAAGAACACATTATCCAACCATGCTAGGGGAAAAGATAATTGGTTCAATTATCATGCATTATGATTTATAACCACTAAGTTCTCTATTCTCTAATAGGTTTCATAGTAATGCACAAAAATTTGATTTTAGGATGGATACACAGCAAATCAAACCAAAGTGTGATTAACATGATTAACAAAGAAAAATAAATAAAAGAAAATATTTTTGCTTTCTTTTTCCAATATTTTTTTATTTTTCAAATAACATATAAACTGAAAAATAAGCATATATATGCAACTTCAAAGGAAAAATAAAGCAATTACTATAAATCCTAAAAAGAATGTCAAACTTGACATCTAAAATCTTTTTGGGTTTTCAATTTCTATTGTTTTTGGTTTTCCTTGTACAAATACAAATCAAAAATGAACAAATAAAAATATATACAATGTATGACCCTAGGGTGTTTAATGCAATGCATGAATGATACACCTTGGTCCATACAACTCACCTCACCTACTTCTTAAGTGACTCAACCGTCTTGGTGGCATTTAGGGATCCCAATTGGATTGGTGTAGTAAGTCTCACCCAATGTTCACACATTTGGCTCTTTGGCAACTTTTAGGGGATTGGGGCTTTACTAACCTTTAGTCAAGTGTTCACCTATCACCAACACTTAGGGTCAAGTAAGGTCATTAATCAATTAAACTAGCAAGACTCCCAAGTATGAAGGTGAATGATTGACGGGTACTTGGTTTTATGAATTTTCACAAAGAACACATTATCCAACCACGCTAGGGGAAAAGATAATTGGTTCAATTATCATGCATTATGATTTATAACCACTAAGTTCTCTATTCTCTAATAGGTTTCATAGTAATGCACAAAAATTTGATTTTAGGATGGATACACAGCAAATCAAACCAAAGTGTGATTAACATGATTAACAAAGAAAAATAAATAAAAGAAAATATTTTTGCTTTCTTTTTCCAATATTTTTTTATTTTTCAAATAACATATAAACTGAAAAATAAGCATATATATGCAACTTCAAAGGAAAAATAAAGC